AAGGATGATCAATTATGTAGTTCAAAAAAGAATGGCTTATAAAGCGCCTCCACTAATCTATTAAGAGACCTAACTAATAGTGTATTAACCCTTATGAGATAATTGATTATGCCATTTAAAAAACACTTTTAATTAATTAGAATAATTCTATAATCCATTAGTTAGGAACAAAAATAATTTCCTGTTTATTTAATAAAAAAAGTGAGGTTTTTTATAATTCGATTGTGTGTGATTTGCCTTAGTAAAATCGAGTGCTAGTCTTATATCTTTACAAACACATATCACTCAACATATACACAACGAGCTTTCTCATATCCTCTCTTTCACAACTTTGAAGCTTCAAGTTCTTTACTACATTATATTTAACTTTAACACTCCACTGGAACCTTCAATATTCTCCTGATGAGACTTGATATAAATCTTCAAGATAGACAACATCATCAAACACACAGCTTGATCATAGATCTTTACTTATTTCAGTAAACGCCATTTGACATTAAGTGTTTTCTTTGATATATGAGCTTTGATAATTGATATTAAATCACCTCATAGTGTTGTCATCATTAACACAAGATTGACTTGATCAACACTTCTATTAAGGACTTCACTTTAAAGAATTGTTATCATCAAAAGCAAACATGTTATTATAAACATCATACCTGCAAGCATATAGATCCATATGAATGTCTTCATATGATTAAAAAAAATTGTATCATTTAATGGAGAGGAATATGCATATTTGTAAGAAAAGATAAAACATTTATAGAGTGGATGAATTGTAATAGTTGGGCCGCTGTAAAAACGGGTTCTTTTGTTCCCACGTATCCAGTTGATTGTGCCGTGGAAAATAAAACTAGATATCTTTAGACCAAAGAGAATAAGTAAAATATACAATGCAATCATAAAGCAAAAGCTATTATCACTATTGATCTCAGTATTGATGTTTTTTTAGAGTTTCTCCATATAATTTTGCAAAAGAAATATGGGACACTCTTCAAATTACTCGTGAAGGTACAACCATGGTAAAAAGAATTAGGATGGATACAATGACCTATTAGTATGAATTTTATAGAGTGAATCCTTAGGAAAATATTCAAGACATATAAAAATGTTTTATTTATATCATAAATTACTTGAGAACTATGGGAATTTTTTTTATAAACTAAGATTTGATTAGCAAATTCCAGAGAGGCAATGGCCTCAATTGAAAATCTAAAGTAATTGTGATTTCTAAATGTAAAGATGATATCTCACTATGTGTGAGATATTAAATGTAACACCCTAAGTATCATACATAAATTATTAAAGAATTTAATCAATTAAATTTCAACCACTTAGAGCGTCACACACAACAAAATATAACATGCTCCGTAACACGGGTTATAACAAAATATTTAATATGCATATTTGCACCTAGGATATTTACATGATTTTAACTCATCTAATTTTTAACACATAATTATAAAATAAGACATTTAATCTGTCATCGCATGCTCACCTTCATTTAGTGTATCATTGCATTGAAATTATTATTAAAGCAAATAAATACAATATTGTAATTCGTGACATTTAGTCTCAAAAACTCTAACTTCATAACATAAGCAAAAGGAGTTGTATTAGTCAACTCAAAACAACTTAGAAATCTCACAAAACAAAATAGTCTTTAACTCCAACGTAAACAACATAAGAACAATCAAGTGTTTTCCTCAACCCGATGTTACATGATCAGAGTACAACACCACTAGTCAAAACGGTAAACTAAAGAAGTAACTCCAAGAGCTATCATCCACTTACTTCAGCAAAGCTACTCTTGACTAACTGCAAGTTGTCCATGGTGGACAACATTAAAGAAAATGGGTGAGAATATATTCAAATATTAAATCGTACACAAAACAATCAAGAAAGAGTCACACACTCCAAGTCATACACATATCAACATGCACCTCTATAACATGTATTCACACTTCACCCAATCACTATCAACTCGTACAATTCATATAAAGTTCATCATAATTATAAGCACACCTTGTAACGTCTAATATTTAATTAATTATTTAATTAAATATTTTTGAATATTTTTCTGATTAAATTTTCGAAGTTGTGAAATATTTATTTAAGGTGTGTCGTTTTTAATTGAATTAATTTATTGATTAAATAGTAGGATTAATATTGAATAATACTATTATTATTCATGTGAGCCTATTTTAATGTTAGAAGTAGTAGAAAGGGAGGTGTAGAAATTTAAGCCCAACAAGACAAAATAAGAATAATAGTATAGTAGTTATATTATAATAGATGTTTAAAAATAATAGGAAAATATAAGTATTAGTAGAAAGAAAGAAGAATAGGTTTTGGCAGAAGAAGAAAATAAGAGTTTTGGAAGAGATACGTAGAAGTGCAAAGAGGAGGCAAATCTAGGTGCAATCAGAGAGTTAGAGCAACCTTCAGTCTAAGGTAAGAGTGATGTTCTGACTCTATAATAAGATATGTGATGAATGGTATGTGGGATTGGATTATAAAATTGTTTATGTTTGTGTTTGAAGTATGATATAGCACATATAGCAAAACATGAGTGCTAGCATATATATATATATATATATATATATATATATATATATATATATATATATATATATATATATATATATATATATATATATATATATATATATATATATATATATATATATATATATATATATATATATATATATATATATATATATATATTACTCTTTCACTGTAGCAAAATAAAGGTAAGTGCTATACATATATTACTCTTTCATTGAAGCGTGATTGAAGTAAAAATTAAAGTGCCAACATGTTATTATTCTACTGTGTAACTTTACTCTATCATGAGCTGGATAATAATAAAGTGGTAGATAATATAGTGATTATCATTCTTATGTTTGTGAAAAATAGCAAATTGGAATAATGTAGGGATATATATGTCTCTAGTTTTGTTAGATATAACAATTTAGTCCGGTAGTGTAGCGTAGACATTTAAAGTGAGAATGACGAGTTATTGATACAGTAGCAACATGTATGCTACATTGAAAAACCAGTATTAAGTTTTAAGTTTATTTTTATTATAATAAT